CCAGCAACTGGCGAAGGGTGAACACCTTGTTTCTTGCTGCCGGTGGCTCGGATGAGTTGGAACAGCTTCCGACTGTTGCCAGATGCAGCAGCTGACTCTATCTTCACGCGCACGCTCTGACCACCAGGCTTCGCGGTCCTTACGTAAACACTGTCTTATCTTGCGCGTCAGCGCCTTTCGCTTATTGTTGTATTCGCTGTCAGCCGGAATGGACCGGCGTTCATCCAGGAGTTGCAAGGAACTCGCATAAACCCAGTGGTTTTTAACGGAGCATTGTTTCAAGCCGCAAGCGGCTACACTCGCCCTTTGCATGGCACCTTGCAGATGAAGCCAATGTTCATCTGTACTACTTGGGGGGTTGCTGGCAAGCATTGACTGTAACTCATTCTGGTATTTCAAAGAAGTAGCAGGTGCTACTAGTTCACTGACATCAACGTTTAGACGACGCCTTTTATGAACCCCACCGAATCGCAAGACGAACTTGGCACACACTAAAGCATGATTGGAGTCCAGGCATGTGCTCCAGAAGGAGTGACAGTCTTGTATGCATCCTCGCCACCGGAAACTGACAGCAATATGATCAATCTGAATTCAAGCTTGATTCGCAGAGGGAGGACGCCAGGTAGCGCTACGCCGATGGTTGTGCCGGAATTTGGTGCTGGCTAGAAATATTTGAAGATCCACGCATAGCTGCAGAAGACGGTCGTATGGGGTAACCTAGCTTATGTATTTTAATAGTACCATACATTCTATTAGCTTTATTTGTTTCAGGCATTAAATTAAACCATTTAGACTCACCCAGTGACGACTTCATTCGGTGTATTAATTCCGCTGTAGATTTCTTAACCTTATTCATTATTGTATCTACAGGCTTCTTAATTTCCTCATATGAACCCGTCTCAATATGTTCAGTGACTTTCTTGATATAGTCAGATTTATCCAAAACTACTGTGGAGTTTCCTTTGTCAGCTTTTGCGATGACAATGTTTTTATCCTGTTTTAGACTAATTAGAGCTAGTCTTTCCGATGCTGTTAAGTTTGATTTTGCCTTCTTTTGATTTTTCAGGGTTAATGCACATTGTGCTCGAACCTCTTCTGCTGTCGTCTTATCTATTGAACCTAGTGCTACTTCTATGTTAGGAATGACATCCTCTGGTTTTAATCTACTAACTGTTACATTGAAATTTAGTCCTTTCTCAAGTACTTTTATCTCACCAGAGCTTAGTTCCTTTGATGAGAGGTTGATCACCCATTTTGTTCTGTCAAGAGAGGATGAAACGTTGACGTCGATTTCATTTATTGTGTTCTTCTCTTCCATTAGTTTGTTGAATTTTTTATTTGTGTGGTTTTTGATTTTTTTTATGCTGATTCTCTAGCTTTTTTGGATGTTTCAACAACAATTACATAATCTTTGTCATTGACCATACATTTGAGTTTATGTTTGTGTGAGTTTTTCAATTTCATTTCGTATATTATTTAGTTTCACAGTAATTCGATGTAGTTCTTGTCTTAGACATAATCTACTGACATTTTCGGCAGCTGATGTTATTTTGCTTGAAGTAATTGGAGTACATAGACGTAAATATTTTGGAATTATATGGTTTTTAAAACATCGACTGTTAAAAATCCGATGATTTGTGAATCTTGCTTCTGTTTGACAAAATCGTGTGAGTTTGTTGATACGCTTCCTGGTAGGAAGACCATAAGTATCATTGATATAAGAATAAAACTTGGGCACTGTGGTAGAGTGTAATTCCATTATGGATAAGATTTTATTTTGAGACATCACACAGTGTTATACAGTAACCATCCTATAAAATTCATTAGGAAGATCGAAAAAGACCAAAAGCAAATTAAAAATAATTGTGAAACTAGTAATGATAACATAAATAAGAGAGAATATAAGTCATCTACTCTTATACCATGTATGGACATATGGACATCTGAGGCCCTACGTAGGATTCTTTATTAAGCATGAATTAGGGTGTTGGCATTCAAACCTACAAACTCACTCAGGTAGGACAAGCTCTGTAGGCTAAAAGACCCGGTGGACCCAATTAAACAGAATAATATAATTTATAAAATACCTTGCAACGACTGTGAGTTAAGTCAACTACATTGGTCAAACTAGTAGTTCGGGGGTAATCAGATTGTCGGAGCATAAGAATTTAGCTAAGGTAAGAATGATTGACCCCAAAAAGATGAGTAATTTACAAAAAAGCTCAGCATTACATTGCACTACATGCATTTACACAAAACCACACAATACGGTGGGAGAGTATTAAGATTCTAAGAGGTAATCTATGCAAGTTGGTGTTGTCTGGAATTCCATAGATGAAAGGATATATGCGCCAGTGCATCCTAGGTTACAAAACAGGTGTTTTTTGTGCTTTTTCATGGAAATTTATCATACATTAATTTTAGCTAGGCTGTGTTCATCTTCACGTGTAATTAGAGCATGTACTTCGTAATTTTATGAACTGACACTATACCTAAATACATCGATCCACGTGAAATCTGTCTAAGGTTGCTTGTTGAGGAAGGAAGTAGTATAACATGTCCATCAAATGTTCTAAACCTCCAGTGATTGTTTCTGTATTGCTCATAAGTATAAAGGTATGGTTATTTGGTTATTTTTCGACTTCCTGTAAATTTATCAATTGACACTAATCTTAGTTTCGCACTCTCTCCCTCACTCTTTGAGTGAGTTGTTTTTGAAAAGTTCCTCCTGTTTTTCGCGTACTTCTAGAAATCCTAAGATAAAAGTCTCGCATTTCCTGTTATATTCTCGTATTTAGATCCAACGATTTCAGAGCTGACAAACTGGATAATTTAATTTGATTGTTGCATAAGAATCCTAGTCATTCTACCCACCCTTTAAACTACTAACTTCACTCTGCTACTCTAACTAATCAAGTATGTCATTTTGTGTTCTCCTTGCATTATGTTTATCACCTTTTCAATAACCAACCGGTTAATATCAATTTTTTTAAGGAAACTTAGTTCTTAGGCAAAGTTACTGGTGTGTAGAAAGCTGGTAGTAGTGTATTATTTGTTGCACATTACAGTTCGTTTTGCTTATCAACACTTCTTTGTATGCCCAAGTGAATTATAATTCCGGTAATCTATCATGCAGAATGCTTGTAGGCACGGATCTAGGTGGATGCTATAGGGGTTTGGTTCATTGCGTTAGTCACTATGGGCTTTCAACTGTGCTGTCCGGAGTTCAAATCCCGGACTTCCCACGTACTTCAACTTTGACAGCTGGGTGGCATCACTAGCCTTCTCACAACAAGTGTAGTTTATGTATGGCTTGCCCTGTGTAGCTGACTTCTAAGCAATGGATAACAGTATTTCATCAAGGATGCCCATTATCCCCATTTCTATTCAACTTCATCATAGATGTACTAATGGACATAACCCTAACTCACTTCAGAGACTCTGGGATTGACTTGTTACCACCAGGGAATAATCTCGTTGACTTAGAATATGCAGACGATATAGTCCTTCTAGGCGAGGACGCTGCCAAAATGCAGAGTCTCCTGAACACCTTGAGCTGCAATCTACGAATGTTTGGCATGCGATTCGCTCCCACCAAATGCAAGATGATGTTACAGGATTGGACTACACCGACCCCTAGATTAGAATTAGGAAGTGAAGTGGTAGAGCACGTTGACCGCTTCACTTACTTGGGAAGTACCATCAGCCCCAACGGGTTGATCTCTGACGAAATCTCAGCACGAATACAGAGGGCTAGTTTCGCATATGCCAGTTTACGCCGTCTCTGGCGTAGACGTGATATCCGACTATCGACCAAAGGGCGTGTGTACTGCTCATCAGTCCACTCCGTCCTCCTTTATGGCTGTGAGACCTGGCCATTGAGAGCAGAAGACATGAAAAGATTAGCTGTCTTTGATCATAGGTGTCTGCGTTCTATCTCCCGTGTGAAGTGGTATAATAAAGTGAGCAATATTGAGGTTAGGCCTCGGTCGAGTGCTAGGTAAGGAGGGGAAATCAATCGACGAGGCTGTGAAATTACATCGACTGAGATGGTTAGGACATGTGCTGTGTATGCCTAGTCATCGCCTTCCTCGACAATGGGCAATGTTAGCTGATATAGGGTCAGGCTGGAAAAGAGCTGGCGGCGGTCAAACCAAAACATGGCACCAGTCAATGAAATCTACAACAGTTAGTTTAAACCAACCATGTAGGAAGGTGTAGACTTCCTGACTGGTTGAGGTCCTCGGGACGGTAAAAACCAATGGTTGGAAACAATTGGTGACATGGCTCAAATGATCGTTCTCAATGGCTGGCGCAGATGCATCCACTCCTTGTGACTTATGATTTCCAATGAAACTGTTTTGTTCTTCGTTATTACTATTCCTTTGTCTCATATCCCTGTCTACTGTCTATATTATGCATTTCTTATACTTCCTTCTCTTGCTTTGTGTGGAGCGACTTGAACTGTCGCACATATGTTCAAAGTTCTATGTCGAAAACAGACAGACTTGGTTCAAATAGACTGTTCATAATTCATTTCGAGTACTCGGATAGCATCTAAGTTTATATATTGATTGGGTTGCTGGCCGGCCTATATCCTAGTGCATAAACTCAGCCTATATTCAGTCTTGAAATAGTCAGTCTTCCTGTCTAGTGAACGTGATTACACCTAATTACCGGGGTAGTTATTTATATATGTAACGCTAATCATCATAATTGCTGCATTCACTGACTTATCAATGTGGTTGTTGTACTATATTAGTTAGTCTGTTTTCTTTCTCACAAGCATAGGTCGTTATGAACTCACGCGTTTGAAATTTGTTTGATTAAAAAAGATTAGAGCGATATCTTGTTGTTTGCGTAGTTAACTATTTGAGCATTTGGTTCAGGACATATGCCAATTGGCATGTTGCGTTCAGTTGTCTCTCGAACATCTTATAACAGAAATATGCGCATGGTTTATCTCTGCGTAAAATAACTGTCTGTGTTTCCTTTAGTAGTACAGTGAAATTTTCAAATGTTATTATTATTATTATTTTGAAAAAAAATGGTAGCTCCTATACCTGGCAGTTTGGTGGAATGTATCATAATAATAATAAAAGCTGGTGAGACTATTGATTCGTATGGATTACATATTGCCTACATCAACAAGTTCGTCTTCTTCTTCTCTCGGCGTGTCTAGCTCAATTATTTTTCATGGAAACCGAAATCCTGAAGGGTAAGTTTATTCACAGTTATTATTTACGTCTTACTGAAATCAACGTGGACACATTTGTTTTTGGTAAATTTAGAGATAATCATTACTTGTGACTGTTCTCAGTAGGCTTAGAGATTAATAATTTATTTAATATAAACGAAAACTTGGTACAGTGTGTCGGTACCAAGATATGTGTGTCACAAAACAATACACAATGGTGGTATTACAATAATATGTCTGTTAGTACCGAGATATAACTGACTGAGATGACAACGTAAAACTTTGTTAAAAGTAGAGAAAATTAAATAAAAATGTATGAGAGGGAAAGTAGTTAATAGAATATTATTATATTATTGTTTCCTTTAATTCCTAGAGGAATATAGGGCTCCACTGCGTTCGGTTCTCTGCTAGAGTCTTCACCTGACTCCAACTCTGCCAACATGTCTTCATCTCCTCTTCACATGACCTCCTCCAAGTCACCCTTGCACTGACGACCAACTCGCCGCTTCCCTTTCGGGTTCCACTCGAGCAATGGCTTGTCTAGTGATGTCACTCACTTGATGGTTTCCTCAGAGTATGGCCAATCCATCTCCATTTCTTCCTGCCTATTTGTTTCACAATCGGTTGCTGGTTGGTTCGCTCCCAGAGATCTTTGTTGCTGAACTTTTGCTGGCCATCTGATCTTGAGTATTGAGCGAATATAGCTGTTAATGAAGGTCTGTAGTTTGTTTGAGATGCTCTTTACGACGCGCTGGCTGACTTCACATTGAAGTTGAAAATCCGGATCTTATTTTTGACTAGTGGAAAATTTCAAAATATGCATGTTGGTGAGGGATGAATACACCCACACCATTGTATAGGAATGTCGGCCATTTGTAAAACAAGCCTCTCCAGTCATTCGTAGCACTCTTAGAACCTCAGCAAACAGTCTACCCATATGGTTTAAACCAATAACCGATGATTACATAAAGTGATATCATGTTTTGTTCTGACCATCCAATCTAATCTTATTCACTGTCTGAGGAGGAACGCAGTGGTTCAGTATGTAGATGTCCTATTAACCTTGGTCAGTGAACATCCACCAGCTCATCAACTAACATTCCCTTCTTACCTAATACTCATGTTTACTCATAGTGTCGCGTTATCCAATGTGCACAATTAACCAAAGGAGTCTAATTCAAAAAGTCTCTAGTATTTTCACTTCTACTTTCAGTGATCATGTCTTGCAACGCTGCAGACATGCTGTCTAATTGATCACGACGCATTCTGTCGACGCTAACGATAACTTCAATTTAGCACTCAATGCCTAATGCACCTTTTATATTAGACGCCATATGACTGCGTCAGCAACCAGTTCACTAGAGCTCATTTGACCTTCTTCATCATTAGTGAAAGGCCTGCTTTTCAGATTCTTCACACACCTATAAATTGTCTGTAAGATAAGTTACTGGTCATAAGAAAATTAAATAGGCTATTTCAAACTTATAATTATCTGTGATTTATCAAGCTTTATTATTATTGTTCCCTTGTGTTCCTAATGGAACATAGGGCTTCAACTGCACGTCTCCACTTGCTTCTGTCTTCTGCTGTACTTTTCACCTGCATCCATGTTCATCCATACTGTTTCAACTCCTCTTCACACGATCTCCTCCATGTCACCAACCCTTGGACGTCCCACTCGCCGCTTCCCTTTCGGGTTCCACTCGAGTGATGGCCTGACGTGCGATGTCACCCAGTGGCCTCCTCAGCGAGTGTCCAATCCACATCCACTTTCTCCTGCATATTTGTTGGGCGATTGGTTCTTGTTTTGTTCGTTGCTGATGCTGTTGTTGTTGTTGGTTGGTTGGTTATTTCCATAACCTCCGTCTTGTCTATGTTCACCTGGATTCCTGTCTTTGCTGCTTCTTCGTCCAGTTTGTCGGTTTTCGCTTGTAAGTCTTCGATTTTGTGTGACATCAAACATAAATCATCCACGCGCGAAATCCAGGTATTCTGGGTTCTTCAGGTCGGTCCAGGATATCCCTGTCTTCTCGTTTCCCACTGTCTGACGCATAATGCAGTCCACCACAATTAGGAATATCATTGGTGATAATAAGCAGCGTTGTTTGACACCTGTGTTTACTCCAAACGCCTCGCTGAGTTTTCCGTTGTGGATCACTTGACATGTGCCGTTGTCGTACAGCTGTTGAATAAGGTTGATGAATATTTGCGGTTCGCCGTAGTATGAAGCTTTAACTGAAAAAAAATATTTAGTAGAGGAATCTGTAGTGCTTTACCACGTGTTTAGTGTTTCCAGTAGTGCTCTAGGTATTATCAGTGATGGAAAAGAGATGGAAAAAGCATCGGCGATAGGCAACACCAGACAACTATTCAGGCTTATCAGGGAAACAGGTGGTAAAAGGCAAATGATAAGCGAAACAATCTCCGAGAAAAATGGCACCATAATTAGCTCCCAGAATAGACGTCTGGAGCGCTGGAAAGAACACTATGAGGAGCAATTTAATTGGCCCACAGCCACACTTAACCTACCGGACATCCAACACCTCCCTGAATGGGAGATAGACACAGGTCCTCCGTCCTTAACTGAGGTTACTAAAGCTGTCACCAATCTGAAGCTAGGCAAAGCAGCAGGACCTGATTTATTGACTCCAGAGGTATTTAAGTACGGAGGCGACAGTTTACTGTCTGCGTTAACGGAGGTTCTAGGCAGCGTCTGGGAATCAGAGGAAGTCCCATCGGGTTGGTGTAAGTCACTGATCATCCCGATATACAAGAAGGGGGACAAGTCGTCTTGTGATAATCACAGAGGGATTAGCTTGACTAATATAGTATCTAAAATCCTAGGCTCAATAATACTGCGTAGATTAAGCGGTGCTCGGGAGACACAAACACGTGAAAACCAGGCAGGTTTTAGGCCAGGTAGAGGGTGTATTGATCACATCTTCACCCTTCGACAGATTCTAGAACATAGGCATTCCTACCGGCGTCCGACAATCATTATATTTCTTGACCTAAAGGCGGCATTCGATTCTGTCGACCGGGAGGTTCTCTGGCGATGCTTGGCTGTAAAGGGAATGCCAAGAAAATACATTGCACTGATTAAGGCACTCTACTCGTACTCATGCAGCCAGGTGAGGGCTTATGGCGAGTTGTCATCTGAAGTGGTGACGACTAGTGGCGTCCGTCACGGATGCCCATTATCCCCATTCCTATTCAATTTCATCATAGATGTACTAATGGACTTAACCCTAACTCACTTCAGCGACTCAGGGATTGACTTGCTACCAGGGAATAATCTCGTTGACTTAGAATATGCGGACGATATAGTCCTTCTAGGCGAGGACTCTGACAAAATGCAGAGTCTACTGAACACCCTGAGCAACAATCTCCGCATGTTTGGCATGCGATTCGCCCCTATAAAATGTAAGATGATGCTGCAGGATTGGACTTCATCGACCCCTAGATTAGAAATAGGAAGGGAAGTGGTAGAACACGTTGACCGCTTCAATTACTTGGGAAGTACCATCAGCCCCTACGGGTTGATCTCCGACGAAATTTCAGCACGAATACAGAGGGCTAGGTTCGCATTCGCCAGTTTTCGCCGTCTCTGGCGTAGACGCGATATCCGACTATCGACCAAAGGGCGTGTGTACTGCTCAACAGTCCGCTCCGTCCTCCTTTATGGCTGTGAGACCTGGCCATTGAGAGCAGAAGACATGAAAAGATTAGCTGTCTTCGATCATAGGTGTCTGCGTTCTATCTCCCGTGTGAAGTGGTATAATAAGGTGAGCAATATTGAGGTTAGGCCTCGGTCGAGTGCTAGGTAAGGCGGGGAAATCAATCGACGAGACTGTGAAATTACTTCGACTGAGATGGTTAGGACATGTGCTACGTATGCCTAGTCATCGCCTTCCTCGACGGGCAATGTTAGCTGATATAGGGTCAGGCTGGAAAAGAGCAACCGCGGTCAAACCAAAACATGGCACCAATCAATGAAATCCACAGCAGTTAATCTAAGTCACGTAGGAAGATGTAGACTTCCTGGTTGGGGCCCTCGGGATGGTAAAAACCAATGGTTGGAAACAATTGGTGACATGGCTCAAAATCGTTCTCAGTGGCGCAGATGCATCCACTCCTTGTGACTTATGATTTCCAATTAAACTTTTGTTCTCCGTTATTACTATTCCTTTGTCTCACACCCCTGTTTACTGTCTATATTATGCATTTCTTCTACTTTCTTCTCTTGCTTTGCGTGCTACATAGATTGTGGCGACTTGAACTGCCGCACATATGTGCAAAGTTCTATGTCGAAAACAGACAGACAGACAGACAGATTATCAGTGACATTCTTGTTATTCATAGAAAAAGTTGCATTTTTTTCCTGGTAATGTTCAATAAACTTTTAAACTGTTTGTATTTCAGGCTGTCATCGTCGCTCATCTCTGTACTTCTCCTTAACATCGCTAATGAGGCTGCTACTCGTCAGTTACGCACTGTCTTTATTCGTAAAGAAGCAATTTTGGAGTATGATTTCGTTCATATACATGGATGTAGTAGACTAGACACTTCGAATTGGGACGATATTCATTTTGTGTGAGTTTATATATATATATGTATATATATATATATATATATATATATATATATATATTGGAGCATAAAGAACTGCTTATTTGTTATTCTCCTTTGAGTAGTACTATTTATTTTGTATTAAGTATAAAGGTTTTAATCAAAAGAGTGAAGAGCTGTATAACCCATAATAATTGATGTTCATAAATAGTAGCAGTAGTATGTCTTAAAACTTCGACTGGAACAGGCTGGTTCCGGGAGGAACAAGTTGTCATGCATCGATAAAATCGCAACACTACGTATCATTATTGAACAGAGCTTGGAATGACAGTCAGTCAGCTCTCTACCTCACTCAACTTCATCGTCTTTGAAAATGCTCTCGACAGACAGCGTTGATCGAGGAGTGATTTGGCGACTGCTTCGCTACTACGGTGTGGCGCCAACAATTATACACCTCATCCAACAGTTGTAGGACAATGCTGCATGTCAAGTAATTCACTATGGAAAACTCACGGAATCTTTGGAAGTGAAGACGGGAGTAAAACAAAGCTGGCTGGCTGCTTACTATCTCCAATGACTTTCCTGATTGCAGTAGACTGGATAATGTGTCAGACAGACGGCGGGCGACGAGGAGACAGGCATAAAATGGACCCATACAAAAAACTTGGAGGATCTGGACTTCACCGATGATATGTGTCTGATTTCCCACAAACTGGAAGATATGCAAGTGAAAAGCAACAAGTTGGCAGAAGAAGCATCAAAGATTGAACTACAGATGAACATAGGGAAAACAGAGTTGATGAAGACTCCTGGCCAACAGCAACAACAACAGTAACAACAACAGACAACAATCAGCCAGGATAATGGGAGAAATTTGAAAGAAGCAACCTCCTTTACCTACCTACGTGGAAAGCATCGTTTCAACTACAGGTGGGCGGAACTGACGAGGATCAGGAAAGCAAGGCAAACTTTCATTACTCTCAAGTCTGTGTGGAGGTCAACAGCACTACTCAGCATGAATATAATAAGATCTGAATTTTCAACTGCAATGTGAAGTCAGTGCTACTATACGGATCAGAGACTTGGTGCCGCGTCACGAAAGGCACTCCAAACAAACTACAGACCTTCATCAATAGCTGTCTTCGCTCAATACTCCTCAAGATCAGATGGTTGGCCAGAAAATATCAGTAACAAGGAGAGATCTCTGGCAATAAGGGAATCAACCCAACAAGAACCGATTGTGCAACAAATAGGCAGGAAGAAATGGAGGTGGATCGGTCATACTCCGAGAAAACCATCAAGTGACATCACACACCAGGCGATTGCTCGAGTGGAACGTGAATGGGAAGGGGCGGGTTGGTCATCAGTGCGAGGTTGACATGGAGGAGGAGTGATTCGAAAGGGAGATGAAAGCATGGGGGCAGATATTTAGCCAGGTGAAAACGTTGACAGAGAACCGAATGCATTGGAGACATGAAGCTGAAGCCCCATGTTCCTCTAGGAACTAAAGGAAACAATAATAATATTGATGTATTGAATCTCTTCAGTTGAATCTTTCACACTTTTTAAATGCCTTCTTTGATCACGCATTATAACAAATGGATGGACTACAATCAGGCATAATCGACTTTCATTAATTCTGACCACATCCCAAGCGTTCATGGGATCCAACAGTGCCACCGCGTTTTAGTCTAAACACCTTTTACCTCTGTTCAGTGTGAAACTAACTCCGCCAAATTAGTAGTAGTAATAAGCTGGCAGTAAATGGTCGTCTAGTTAAGTTGTTGATTTTGAAAGGTATTTCATTTTTGAAAAAAACACTTTGCTCCATGGATTGATTCTTGAATCCATAGACAACTTGAGATTATATGTGGTCATAAATAATGTGAATAACCACTTCAAATTTCTTTGATTAACTCTAGCTACCTACCATCTGAAGATGCATTGATTCGTTGGTTTTCAAGCGTCCATATGCAGCAACGATTTGCTGATCTTATTATCGTTGAAGCATTGGATCAATTAGTAAAAAATGTAAGAGTTTCATGATATGAAAAATTTAATGGTGCTCTTTTTGTCAGACCTTCCTGTTTGTTGTTCAGACTATCTCAAGAAATAGTAGTTATTACCCATGGTTTTTCAACGTTTTATCTCGAGTCCAAACTATGGAATATCGTCGAGTTTCAATTAAAGCCGAGTTTTAATTGGTCCAGTGTGTCTCATTTCTTTAATGATTTGCATATTTTGTTTCTGATTTTACCTAATTGGCTTTAGTTGAATTTTGAAAGCGTGTCTAGTCTTTTCAAGAGTTGATTTGTAAGGATTTGATTTGTTTTTCAAGTTAGATCACGGATTGATATCATTTAGATAGCTGCTACCTTGACATGTGGTGGTCGGGCTTGCACATCGCGATGACCCAGCAAGTTACACTGGCTGAAACCAATGTTCCTGCAGGTCCTACCATGCCAGGAAGGTTGTTAGGATAGCGGTTAGACTAAAAGCAGTTACCGGCATTGTGTAAGAATCTTTCTTACACTATGCTGGGGGTCTGAGGGCGAAGTCGTACTGCTGGGGAACAGGGGTGTAACAGCAGTAAGGTGTTTCCCTCAGATGACCAGCATGCCAGCTATGCTGTCTCTCCACTCCGGAGAGAGGGGTTAGAAATTGTATATCCCGACTTACCCTACGGTGATCCGTAGCTGGCGGTAAGTTTACTAATATGAAACCAAACCAAGAAACCAGTTCACACAGGCCGTGTGTGACTGGCCTGGCTCAAGCAGTTGCCCCATGGGCTCTGCGGTCACGCAACGCTAACCCTCTCTCTGTTGCAGGTACTCGAAGAATCAATCAACTCCCATGGTGTGGGCAGCCGGGAAGTAACAACCGCTCACACACTTCCAAAAGCACTTCCATCAGTTAGAGAACCATTGAAAACCACTAGGGAGAACTGGACAGCTGTTTCATCGTAGTTTGGGACTCTTCAGCAGTACGCACACACTGTGGGATTTGAACCCCGGGTCTTCTGGTCACAAGGCGAGCTAGCTCGTAGACCATGAGGCCACTGGGACTCGATCCAATGACCAGTCCATGAATTCTGACTTCTGCCAATTCATGACATAGCGCAACCGCTAGCCAATGTCTCCTGTGAGTATTTGTCATCACACCTGACCTGCTGCACCCTACTTGTCACAACTTCCTACCAGAACCCCAGGTAACTAACTACCTACCTGAATAGGGTCAGTCGCTAGTGAGCATGTCATTGATTTTCAAGTATTGATGCTTTGATTACTGATGACAGTAATGACTGTTTTGTTCATTTACCTTTCTTTAGAACAAGGATTCTTCCTATATCATTCGGTTAACCAATCTCTTAGAAGATACACGACAGTTTATTCATAATACTGTAAAAGATACTGAACATGGTCATAATTGTGGACTGATCGTTTCTAGTGCTATAAATAACTTCTGTGATTTGAAAAAGATGAATTTAGCTTCACCTACGCATGAATTATTTCCAGCTCACGCTTTAGCTAGAACATATTTACTTCATGAAGAAAGTAAGTCCTTGATGCTTCACCTCCTGTTACCCCTTTGTTTTGATGAGATTATTGATTGAGTTATATTGTTGTTTTGTGCTGTTACACATTTCACATCTAAAAGTCTGTCTGTCTGGATTCAACATAGAACTTGGCATCGAAGTGCATCAGTTCGAGTTGCCACTTTCCAAATAGCACACAAACGTAGACAAGAAAATGAGTGAAGAGAATCAATAGGGTTTTGACAATTATAAGAGTGAAATAGAATGAGTAATGGTAGAAAGGAATATGAAAGATTACAGAGACTGAATACATCTGCGTAAGCCATTGACAACGATTTTGAGCCATATCACACCTATTGTCTCCAGCCATTGATTCTTAGAGTCCCGAGGGCCCCAACCCGGAATTCTCCATCTCCCTACCTGACTCAGTTTAACTGTCAGGGATTTCATGGATTGATTGGTGCCATGTTCTTGTTTGGCCACCACTTACTCTTTTCCAACCTGCACCTATATCAGCTAGTAATGCCCGACGGGGGAGGCGATGGTTAGGCATGCGCAGCACGTGACCTAGCCATCTCAATCTATGTAACTTTATAGCCTCTTTGATAAAGTTTAATATCTAAAAGAATAAATAGTAACGTCTTTTACAGAGAGGAACTTATATTACTACAGAAAAAATTGTGTGTCATTTAAATATTTATTTCGTTTAGCTTGATGTGGTCCTCCTCGTTTTAAGCTTGACTTACCTCCTAATCTGTTATATAGAAGACTCAGAATTCTACCTTTGGTGCGGCTCACTCCACAATCGCCCATAAGCTTTCATTTCTCTAACCTCATACGATCTCCTCCATGTCACCTTCGAACCCACGCACAACTCGTTGCTTCCGATTCCGGTTCCACTTTTGAGAGCTTGCTTGCTCGCTGTGTGTGTGATGTCATTCAACAGCCTCTTAAGCGTATGAACAGTCCATCTCAATTGCCTTCTACAGATTTGTTGAGCGATAGGTCTTTGGTTGGTTCTTTGCCTGACTGAGTTCTATGTTGCTTCAGGATGGAATGAATGCAGCCTGTTGCCAGTGCTTTTAGTGACACGCCAAGTCTCTGAACCATATATACAAGAAGCACCGACATGACATTAATGTTGAGAACTCGTCTCCTATTCCCCACGCTTGAATGCAGTAGGTTTTCATACTCGTTTCCACAGTAACAAACGTCTGTCTTGCTTTTTCTATGCCTGTTTTGACATCCTCTTGTATGCGCTTGTAGTTGAAACAATGCTGCTTAGGTAGGTAGGTAAATGAAATAAGTGACTTCCCCCAAAAATTTCTTTCCTTGATCGCCTTCACTTACACAATAGTCTTTACTTAACTAACACTGATTTGATCATCATGAGTTTCGTTCAGCTGCATCCAGGTGAAAGATACGTAACTGTCCCTTCATCTTCAACAGTTAGTTTTTCTATACTATCCTCTGTAATATTTTGTTATTGTTATTCGAATTGAAATGAGAAAATTTCAATGGGCAAATCGATTGTGTGTGGCTAACCAGGTTTCGTGCAGTAACACTTGAATTACCAACCAATTACATCAGATCATATTCAAGTATTGGTTTGTAGAGATTTGATCGATTGGTTACAGGATTTCATCATGAGCTGACATTGGTTAGAGAACCATTGGAAAACCTGCAGGGAGTACTGGACAGCTGTTTCCGCTGTCCTAGTTTGGGACTCTTCAGCAATGAATTCTAACCTCTGCCAATTCACGACATAGCACAACCGCCATAGGGCAACCTGAATAGGGCCAGGCGCCAGGTAGGTAGTTACCTGGGGTTCTAGTGGGAAGTTGTGACCAGTAGGGTGCAGCAGGTGGAGTGTGAGGACAAATATTCACCGAAGACATTGTCTAGCGATTGCGCTATGTCATGAATTGGAAGAAGTTGGAATTCAGCGGCCACTGGATCGGGTCCCAGTGGCCTAATGGTCTACGAGCTATCTCGCCTTGTGACCAGAAGGTCCTGGGTTCGAACGGTGGTTGTAGGTGCGCACTGATGAAGAGTCCCGAACTAGGTGGACGAAAAAGCTGTCCAGTACTCCCGGCAGGTTTTCCAATGGTTCTCTAAGCGATGTCAGCTCATGATGAAATCCTACATCAGATCAGTTTGTCGAATAAGACCAACAGAGTTTTTGAAATAGTAGTAGGTGTTGTTGTTGTTGTTTGAAATCTCAGACAGGCAAGTTCATTAGTATTCATTTTTTTTTACTGAATTCTTGTTCTACTCTGTACATTTTCAGATGAGGATAACTGTTTCCAACTTCATTCAGTTGAGGACAACTGGCGGTTAAATATTAAGAAACAGTACGATGAAGTATTTTGGATAGCGAAGGATTAATTACTTGTGGATGGGGAAAAGCTAAGGAAGGCATATGAGAATTAATGTTTTTCCTGCTAAGTCTAATGTACAGATACATAAAACAGTATTTTGTATTCAGTTTTCTATGTATATGTACGCCTATCAAATCACATTCCCAGTTGTTAGATATTTGATTATCTGAAATATAATTTCTTATAAATCTTATTCTTATTCGTGAATAAAAGTTATCTCAAACTTTTGAGCTGTGGAGTTGATTACTTGTGCAGAATATTAGAAAAAAAGCGCATCATAATGCAGTTATTCCAGTTTATCATTGTTATTATTATTATTCCTTTGCGTTCCGAGTGGAAAATAGAGACGACTTCAACAACACACATCTCCACTTTCTTCAGTTTTCTGCTGTCCCATTGAAATTCCACTCGAGCGATGGCCTGTATTGCACGCGATGCCATCTGACGGTTTGCACAATGTGTATGCCCGATCCATCCATCTCCATTTTCTCCTACATATATGTTGAGCGATCGGCTTTTGGTTGGTTTTTTTTTCGCATAATTTCTAGTTGCTGATTCTTTCTGGCCATTTAAGCGTCAGTATGCAGCCAGTAAAGGCAGTTTACGAGTAGTAAATTACCCCACCATTTGAGAAATTCTGTTTGAAAAATTGGTTTGTTCTGTAAGACAAGTTGCAAGATGAATTTCTTCTTTTGAACAGCAGAATGTGGGCACATAACGTGGCAGACTGTTTTATCTTAACTTTTACAACTGTAATTGCAGTGATTTAGTCCAACAGAGTTGTTGTTTTTTTTCCCACCTTGCATTTTCTACATCAGAAACTGAAATAACCTACAAACTGAAGCTGTATTGGACTTTCTTCTCCACTTAATTTATAAGTGGACTTAAAGGGTTTTTGATTTACCGCATTTCTTAAAGTCGCAATCATTTTTTTAATAATAATAATCTACTTTATTCCAAGACGAACAATACTTATAATACAGAATGGAATTCTCAGCATTTGTCACAATATTGCATCTGATTTACTCAAAATATAAATAAAATTAAAAATTGAAACAAAATTAACCAGAGGAATTTGTCCACATTCACGATATAAAGTCAAAAATATTCGAAGTACGAATTGAGAATATTAAATTTAACAATAATAATAATAACAACATTGAGTTTGTTTCAAACAGTATTGTCGATTCAGTTTGGAAGTTTTAGCATGTTATAGAGTATTGAATCTAATGTTCTGTTGATATAGCAGCGTGGTGAGGGGAAAGATAAAAAATTAACAGTTATAACACAGCTTAAATGATGTTCACACTTATGAAAAAAATAAACAAAACAAAAAATTGAGAGGATTATAAATATAAGAAGAACAATAACAATAAAGGTTGATGTTGTAAGGGTGGAGGAAATGGTTTATTAAGTAGTGCAAAGAAGGTTAGTTAGTTCAAGCCTGACACTATTTTCATCACATAAAGTACGTGCCAAATATGGTATGGACGTACGTGCATAAAGTCTTCTCGAAAGACTTGTTGTTTTACCTGAGAAGACACAAGGTTGGAGCTGCGGGTAAAGTGGATGCGCACAGTCTGACAAAATTCCTTTAGCAAATTTGTTGCATGACATCAAGTGCCTATCAGTGACAATGTCAAGGATATGGCTCAGTGGGATACCACTGACAGTCTTCAGAGTTCTACGACGTATGACATAGTCTTTTTTAAGCAATTCAGGAAAGATTAAGGGTGAACAGTAAAGAAGATTATGTAAGATGCACGAATTGACAAACTGTAAGTGGAGGGGTTGGGTAATGCTTACGTGGCTTAACTTCTTAATGTAAAAAGTCGACGAAATATTCTTTTAGAAATCGATAAGACATGGGAGGACCAGGATAGGTCAGTGGAAAGTTATTCCAAGATACTTGATTTCTACATCACTATAATCAATTTTGTGACGTTCATAGGAACCAACAGCTTCATTTAACTTTCTCTTACATCGGAAACTGAAATTAACAGTCTGACATTTTGGAAGGATTAAGTTTAAGGCCATTTGACGAAGACCATTTGCTAACTTCCGATAGAAAGCTGTTCATCGTAGAACAGTCTAGCTGGGAGTTAACAGACGCTGAAATAGTCAGATCTTCCGCATACCTAACAAAATTCATTTCATCAGAGTGATGCAAGTCATGCAAGAAGAAAGAAAACAGAAAAGGAGAAAGGACAGCGCCTTGAGGGACACCAGCCTCAGTCAGCAATGAAGTGGACGACTTTCCCTGACACACGGTGTACTGCTTTCTTCCTGAGAAATAAGAATGCAGCCATTTGATAACCCAACAGTCAATGTGAGTTTCAGCAGGATTGTTTAACAAAATGTCACTACGTACTGAGTCGAAAGCAGATGTGTAATCTAAGAAGGTGAAGCGAACAAATTTAGCCCCTTTGTCTACACTGGAGACAATGTTGTGATGCAAGACTGCAGCTGCATCTAAAGTACTTCTACTGTGCTTATAGGTTAATTGTTTGGGACCTTTAAATGCTTTAAGTGAAGGTTGATGATTAAGTAAGGGCAATTTTTCCATAATTTTTAGAAAGGGAGAGGTAATAACAATAGGTCTAAATTTGAAACATGTTCCAGTAGCTATACATTGAATGTTTGTATATATACAAAGGCCATATCTGTGTACATTTTATGCAGTAAAACACAACTGATGGTTAAGAGGAATAAAAGCAGTTTCGGTCATTGTAATGTCATTGGGTCCTTGAAGGGATAGGAATCCATTGTATATTATACTAGCGATTACTGTTTAAGTAATTAAATTGTTTTCAGGCAAATTTATGCCAACAAAGGGCAGTTAAAAGTTATTGTGCTGACTGTGAAGATGTAAGTAAGATAAGGGAAGTGGTGGATGTGCATTTCGTATTCTATGCAGAAAGATCAAACTTTCCGTACAAAAATGTATCAGTCCCAGCTACGAAACCTATAGACAGTGCATTGGGAAGAATACAACAAAGTTATAATAGGAGTTACAATTCAAGTGTTGGTTTGTAGGGATTTGATCGGTTGGTTACAGTATTTCATCATTAGCTGACATTAGTTAGAGAACCAATGGAAAACCTGCAGGGAGTACTGGACAGCTGTTTCGTCCTAGTTTTGGATTCTTCATCAATACGCACCCACCGGGATTGATGCGCCATTGAATCGGATCCCAGTGGCTGAATGGTATACGAGCATGTCTTGTAGCCGGAAGAACCTGGGATCGAACCTCAGTGGGTGCGTACCACCGATGATTCCCAAAAACTAGGACGAAACAGCTGTCCAGTATCCCTTGGTCTTCAAAGGCTTTCTAACTGATACCAATCTGTGGTCAAATTTAAAAAAAACGTTATAATAAAGAAAAAGAAAGTGTGAAACTAGGGAAGATTATGAAATAAAAGACTTTTGCAAATCTTGAGAATTTCGAAGACGATAAGAAGTAGTTATATACCTGTATCACTGTTATCAGTTTCCGGAAGTGTAACCTCCATCTGCGGGTACTGTGATCCATGATGAGCAGGCTGTCGTTGACTTCGGCAAAAACTTGTTAGACTATAGTCATGAGATGTTACAAGATGAGAAAGGTATATAGTATGCTATTGTTTGATGGCTACTTTAGGTCCTAACATATAAATAGCCAATGTCGCTAAGGTTTGAAGAGACGTCTTCAAGGATTAGGTCATTGGGTTTTTTGGGTAGATTTTTCTACTAAGTGATATCTGTTGAAAAACCACTGGAAAGCATTGGTTCTTTCGCATGTTGTGCTTTTCCAACAATGCACACCGATAGCCTCAAGGTTTAAAGTGGTTGGAAACGGTTGGTTGGTGCCGACTCCGAATCCTTCAAAATAGTGCAGATATGTTCATTAATATAAGTGTAGAATTTTGGCACTGTGGTAGGTAGCCTATGCCAGTTTCAGTCTCTGGCGTAGACGTGATATCCGACTATCGACCAAAGGGCGTGTGTACTGCTCAGCAGTCCGCTCCGTCCTCCTTTATGGCTGTGAGACCTGGCCATTGAGAGCAGAAGACATGAAAAGATTAGCTGTCTTTGATCATAGGTGTCTGCGTTCTATCTCCCGTGTGAAGTGGTATAATAAGGTGAGCAATATTGAGGTTAGGCCTCGGTCGAGTGCTAGGTAAAGAGAGGGGAAATCAATCGACGAAACTGTGAAATTACATCGACTGAGATGGTTAGGACATGTGCTACGTATGCCTAGTCTTCGCCTTCCTCGACGGGCAATGTTAGCTGATAAAGGGTCAGGCTGGAAAAGAGCTACCGGCGGTCAAACCGTTACATGTCACCAGTCAATGAAATCCACAGCAGCTAGTTTAAGCCAGCCTCGTAGGAAGGTGTAGACTTCCTGACTGGTTGGGGTCCTTGGGACGGTAAAAACCAATGGCTGGAAATAATTGGTGACATGGCTCAAAGTGATCGTTCTCAATGGCTGGCGCAGATGCATCCACTCCTTGTGACTTATGATTTCCAATGAAACTGTTTTGTTCTCCGTTATTACTATACCTTTGTCTTACATCTCTGTTTACTGTCTATATTATGCATTTCTCCTACTTTCTTCTCTTGCTTTGTGTGCTACATGGAGGGAGTGTGGCGACTTGAACTGTCGCACATATATGCAAAGTTCTATGTAGAAAACAGACAGACAGATAGGTAGAATGTAATTCAATATTAGATAAGCTGTGTGAGTAACTTGATATGATTATGAACAGTAATAGTTTGTGCTTGAAACGTCATCAGTTAATATTACTGTATAACGCTGTGTGATTTATCAAAATAAAATCTTATCCATAATGGAGTTATACTCTATCACAGTGCCCAAGTTTTATATTTATATCAATAATTAGATAAGTTTATTTCAAATATCACACAGTGATGATGCAGTATTAACAACTGGATGACGTTTCGAGCATAAATTATTGCTTCTAATAATCATATCAATTTTAGTCACACGTTTTCACAATTTGTCTTATGTATATTTTCTCTATTTCTGTCTCTCCAACATCGCTTTGTTGTTTGTTGTCACTTTCCATATCTCCGGTATAGGCGGCGTTGCGTCATTCCGATTGCACGTGTGCACTATTGAATCGATAAAAAAAGCTTCAGTG